AATCTACAGCTAGACAAGCTATGTGTGACCCTGCTTGGGAAAATAGGCTCAGCTGTACCTGGTTTTACCACTGCCAGCAATGTCATAGACTCACAGAATCACTGGACATCTCAGGCTGGAAGAGACACATAAGGATCATGGAGCCCAATTCCCTGTTCAACACAGAATTACACAAAAATGAACATATGACCAAATTATATGTAGTAGTGGAGATGCCATGGAAGTCAGTGGTATGTAGAAAAAGGACTATTCCCAGTCCTTACTAAGAGGAGCAAGATGGTTGTATTGTTGACTGTCTTACACAGTGTTAGCATTTTACTTTTATCCCCACCTCCTGTTCATCAATTTTTTTTTTTTTTTGCAGTTTATTGCTGGTATAAATAAAAACTTACAGAATGAAATTTAGTATAATTGGATGGCATGCTATTTTTTATAGCACGTAAAAATACATATAGAGCCATTATGATTTGCTCTCGGTCTGACTTTGAGCAATACTGAAAATTTACTGTTCTCTTATAATACTAGAAAATGTCAAACAGTAGTTCAGCTATTTCTGCTGTCTGAATGCTTTTTGAATTGTGGCTCTATTCTAGAAATACGTGTTTTTTATAATCACACTTTTTGAAGGGACTATTTGATTTATAAATAATTTTCATTACCTGTAAGACCTGTTATTACACTGTATCTGACTCCTACCTAATGAAACACTTATCTCACCTCATCAATTCCTGTTTGAAATGTCAAATCATTGGTTTGTTTTTTTTTATTGCATAAGAATTATCCTAGTAAGAAAACCCAATCCTTTAAAAAATTTTAGTAATTGGATGAAAATTTGCCTACAAATCTAAGAAGGAACTTGATTTACTTTAAAAAAGCAGACAAACAGAAAGCTGTGATAACTCATATTTACAATGTGAAAAATCTGTCCAATGAAGATATTTTTGAGCCATTAGTTAGGCTGTAGTAGTAGAAATACATAGGAATTATTTGGAAAATACCATTGTTAAGACATGGCATTTGTAATACCTTTGACCAGATATTAATTTTTTATTTCTGACTCTTTTCCTTACTTTGATTTCAGATAATGAATCACAGACACCAGCATCGGAAAAATCCAATAAAGTCATATCTACCACCAATGCAAAAGGACATACTCTTCACTATTTTTCCAGGATAATCTAAAAATTGTCAAATTTTTAGATTGGATTGTTCATATTGTAGAAATGCCCTTACTTGTTTTCATTGACATAAATCCAATTTCTCCTAACACAATTTAAATACAAGTTTTCTATTTCTGACGGTACCATGTACCACTGTAAACACAGATCTGCCTAGATTCAGTATCCTTTCTTGCTTTTATGAGTCACATCTTCTCAGTTACCTTATTTTTTAAGGAACATGGGCTTCTCAGAGTGAGGAACTAAAAATTTCTAAAATTAAGACCTTTCCATGTACTCAGATTAAAGCAGTTAAATTCCAGTCACTTTCAAATGCAGGCGATTGGAATTGCATTATGTCTTTCTAGTAACACAGTTAATGAGAAAATACATCTAAATTAATTTCAAGGCAGGGGAAGCAAAAGAAATATACATAATTCAGATTAAAATGATACAAAAAACCTGAGAAAACTATTTTCCCAGGGTGAAATAAAGTCTTGCTCCTAATATAGTCATAAGGGATATAGCCATTCAGTTCAGTGGTACCAGGATTTTTACTGTGTTAATACTTTAAACATATTAAATACTTTTAATTTCAGCTGAAAACACTGTGAAGGTTTTTTACAATTATTTTTCAGATAGCTGAATGAATAAAAATGTTGTCTTTTATGAATTATCCAACAATAATCCAGTTTCAGTTGTCTGATTTAATTTAAAACCCCAAATTAAAAAATTTACAGTGTTTTGCAGTAAAAGTTTCCAAGGTATATCAAAACAGAATATATATTCTTCCTGTTTAGTCAGTTAAAATACAGTGCTCTCTTTTTTTTTCTTTTGTCTTTTTTTTACTTCTCTTCCAATAATGTTTTGTTGTTTGTCTGCCAAGTCTTGTAAAAGGAATTACTTTCTTTGGAAATCTCTGGAAACTCCTACATTTATAAAAGAAAATAATTCAGTAGCATTATAGCATAACAAGAGTCATAGCCAGCAATGTTAGGGCATAACTGGGGAATTGAATCTGAGCACACTATGAAACCATTTAGGGGAAAAAAGCATTAGCAAAATGCATATAATTTTGCTTGTGTAATTTATCATTAAGAAGAGAAAAACAAATAGGTCAGAGGTGAAAGTTCAATTTTATGAAAAGTTGTTCCTGTATCTTTAGTGCTTATTAGGAGGGAAAATTGCAGATCTTGCAGTCAGTTTTGGCGTTTTCCTGAGAGAGGATGAGAAATTTCCTCTCGCTTTGTGGCAAGTGTTTTGCAGCAGATTTGGGTTGAGTTGTTGAGATCAAGACTGCATTTACTTTCCATTTGGCCTCATGGAAACCTTGCTACTGCAATTCTTGCATACAAGGTATTCTTAGAGAGGCAGAATAAAGAAAGGTCACCTACAAATTACCCGAGAAATTTTACACATCCTTTATCACTGACAAGCTCAGTGCCCCAGGTAATTAATTGATCTTACACCATATTGCTTGAAAACTCTTACAGGTGCGTTTGGACATGAGAAACTGAGAGTCAGAGTGAGTTTGCTAATTATTTTTCCTCCATCTTTGATGTCTCTCATATAGACACCTATGGTGTCTCTATGAGAGACATAGGTGTCTAAAGACATAGGTGTCTTGAAGCAAAAGGTGTTTTCCCCTTTTATGTCTGAGCTCAGGCAAACTTTCTACGTGAGAACATGGCCTGAACTGATGCTAAGGGATCATACAATGTTATTCATGATTTTGATAATCTTGGAAGAACGAATAACTTCTTACCTTAGAGCAGTTCTTTGTTCCACCAAGGGGAAAAAAACTGTAAATGTGCACAGTCTGTACCTTGTTTTGGTCCTTATAGTCAGTATATAGAAAATGTAGCTTTAAAAGTGCTTTCAAACATATTTAGCAGATATTTGCATGAGTTTAATTACTTTTGTGATACTGCCTCAATGTTACCATATGGCACCACTTTTCTTTAAGACACACTTGTGTTTTAGCATGGTTTATTTCTAAATTTTAGGTCCTTCAAGATGGAAATTCTACAACTTAGCCTGTTTGCGTGACTTTTGACAGAAGGATGAAGAGTCAGCAAAAGGTGACTTTTGACAGAAGGATGAAAAGTCAGCAAAAGGCACATCCTTGGCACTCCAGTGATGTCATTGATGAAGTGTAGTACTCTGTAATAAGACATGGAGATGATAAAAGAGCTAGCTGGCGTATCTTTCAATATAATAAATTTTCTTCAAAAATCTCAGAAATTACTGGGCCATTTGGGTTTAAACTTAGACAAAGCCTGTGGCAGGTATTCACCACACCAAATCTTAGTTTGAATGGCTACATTTATTACAAGAGTAAACTGTTTCACAGTGCGTAAAGGGGGACAAAGGTAGGCAGCTTGGTGTATAGCATGAAATAGTTTTCTACTTTTTCTCTTCAAATATGGAAAAGAAACTGTGTGTCTGCATGAATAGCTCTGTGCCAAAGTCAGCCTCCAAGTAGTCAAATGTCTCTCATTTACTCTGCATCCCACACACAAGAGTGTGTGGGAATGCTTGTAAATTTAATGAAGTGCTGACTGAAAGAAGTTTATGCCTGGCTTCCAATTAAATACTAATAAGATAAGCTTAGGCAGCATAAACTCCTTGTTATTATGAAGATGGATTATGTTATCAGCAACCTCCGACCTCTCAACTTTAAAACATTGCCAGTATTTTTTGTCAGTGGGACCCTCCATTGATTCCAGTGAGGTTTGGATTGGTGTCTTAGATGTGCAGCTGTTGCTATTACAGGGTAAGTATTCAAATACCACACAAAACTAGTACCCGAAGTGGTTTATAAATCTATCTCGTACAAAAATCTAACATGGAGGTAGAACAGAAACAAGAGGATATCTAGTCCTTTTTCTTAGATCTCCCAGTCATATGTAGCTGGTGGTTCTCCATCTATTCAGATCAAATTGCACATTCCACCTGTCTCCTGGCTCCAATATTAGGCAAGATCTGGGCATTTGTACTTTTTTTAGAAAAGGTACAGAACAAAAAGCATCTACATTCTACATCTCCACCTGCACCCTTTATGAGGCCTGCCTGTAGGACATATCTTTAATGTAAGCACTTTGGCCTTTGTTACTCTGTACAAACATGACAGAAGTATCATGGTAGAGAATATTTCAACACACAATTTTTAGGACACCTAGGTACACTGCTGGGCTCTATAGGCTTTTGGAATCTCCATGAGAAAAGGTGGACATTTTAAGACTGGGATAGCCAAAAAAGCAATGTAAGCAGCAAACAATCTAAGCTAGCCAACAGGGAAACACCGAGGAAAAAAATTATTTTAAATACTTTATCCTATCCACAAAGCTGTTTAGTCCTGTTATGAAGAAACAAATTGCTTTGCCACTTACTGGGATTTGAACAAATATATTCAGAAGGGTGCAGCAACTCCTCAATTTTTTTTTTTTTTCAAAATTGCTGCCTTCAAATTGTTGCAATTATCTGTTTCTTACCTTTGTTGCTAGTTTTCTATTAGTAAAAGTGTAACAGCTGGTTACATTATATGGTGGGAATGAGAATGTAGCTCACTTGGTGCCACTGAGCATCTTGTAAGCACGTTTTTACTTGAAGACATACTGTATCTGACAAGTCTGACAGACCACATAACGTAGCTAGTAAGAAGTTTCAGCCAACACATGTAATTGAAGACTTGGATACAGTAAAAATGACTAAAAAGACATGCAAAATTTGATGTCAGAGAAATGTCATTTTGGGAACATACCAACATTAATTTGAATAAATCTTTAAATGGTACTTCAATTAACATTTCCAGTAATGAATAAAGAGTATATGCACCAACTCTTAATTAAAATGCATTTATTTTTTAATCATTGACATTAAAAAATCCATTTATCATCCTCACTTCTTCTTCACTATTGTGTCTATTTTGTGTTCTTTTGTTTTGGTATATGTAATAGTTCAAGGTTGGTTATATGATACACTTGTACATGTATTTTACATACAACTCTAAAAACAACACTGTATTTGAAAGAGAAATTTCCTCCAATAGACTTCAGTTATAAAACACTTACTCTTTGTATATCCCTGTATACTTTTTCCTTTTACTCATTATCTAAGCTTTATTATTTAAACAATTTTCTTCTTCTCTAGTCACTTTAAAAAAAAAAAAAATTTGCTCATGCTATGAAGTTCTAAGTGAATTTGTGACATCAATCACTTCTATGACAACAGACTTGACGCTTTAAACACAGGATTATGATGAATCCAACACAGGATTGAGTAAAATGGAAACAAGACCATGAGCAAGCAAGATTTCATTAGACTCATTAGAGTCTAGATTTCATTAGATTTCATCAGACTGTTAAAAAAGCGGAGAAAGGAATATAAATGCTGAGTACACTTCCACTTTTTAGCATTAAAATTCTGTGTGATGGACCATACAGTGGTTATTTACTTCATACATTTACAGTATTTGATGTAATCTCTGTGGAACTCAGACACTGCCAAAAATTTCAGACACATTCACTAGTCTTACTTGTGTGTACTCAACTCAAAACATGGTGGTTTTCATGATTTGTCACAGTGCTCCATAGGCTCAGTAGAGCTATTAGGCTCTCATCACCTTTGAAAAATCATACTGGGAACATTTCAGACTTTGAAAAACTGGAACACAGACAACTGTTTAAAAATATAGTTGTAGATTAATTTGTCTTAGTAAGTTTTTGTTAAGAAATTCTACATGCTTAACATAAATAATCAAAAAAGCACTTATTTTAAAATATCTTTTTAGTTCAGCACAATCCAATTTACATAATGAGGGGGAAAAAAAGATCTGTCTTTTGTAAATGGCACTCACTGTAGCTGAATTCTGTTGTTATGAAGCACCTTGAGTATAATGCAGATACACACATGGATGTAGATTTCTGTTGGATCAAATTCCTACTCTTTCTTTTCCAGACTAAAGAGCTACAAGTTGCATAAGAAATGTAAGTAAAAATCTCATTCCAGGGTCAAAGCAGACTTCAGTGGTTCCGTCTTGTTCCAACTTCATCCTACACTGCATACAATTGAAGCTTATACTGACAAGGCTCATAGTAACACTGAACCAGAAGCTGTGCAGATATGAAAACTACAAGGAAAGCTACAAAAGTTTTATTCTGTGACGAATTCAAAGTTTCTGTTCAGTGGCTACTGGAAGAATTGTGTAGTCTTGCTCTGCTCAAGATGCATTAATTCAGAGAAGTATAACATATTCCTTGTGAGTTTTGCTGGCAGAGGGTGCCCGGTGAAGTTAGCAGAAAGATGCCAAGGATATTCAATACCTCAATTGCGAAAAATATCAATATTAAGTCATAATTAGAGCCTGATTAATACATGGATTAAGAATAATATGTAGAACTGTCCCAATATACCCAATTGTATTAAATATATATTCCAGTTTTCACAGATTACTAGCTCTTCTGAACATCTTGGGAACCTTTTTTTCACTAAGAAGTTTTAAAATACTATTTCAAAATATGGAAATGCCCCATTCTTGTTCATATTTTACTTCTTTCACCTATTGGTGGACTGCATCTTCCACAGGATAATAGCATGTCTGAAAGACTTCAATGAAGAGGAAAGCAATAGTCTTAACTTTTTTTTCAGGTACACTGTTGAAACAGCATATCTGCTGCAAAGTTTCTGAATGTTAGGGACCATTTTTGAAACAGAAGGCTGTGGGCAATATTAGTTTAACATACTGACCTAGTCTAGAAAATTTGGTTTACGTATTTTAAGTAATAGACATGGTATATTGTATTCTGCTTAGCAGGTAAAACATACTTTACCACGAATAAAGGAACAGGATTATAATTTCACCTCCCAGACATAAAATGATACACACAAAAAAATATTATATACATAATTAACATTTTCTTTCTCTTGAAAGAAAATGTTAATTATGACTTTGCAAACAGGTGGTGGGTTTTTTTTAATATGTTTTCTTTAATTGATGTTTAGTTTCAAAGCATTGCAAAAATTGATTCCTATACATGATCCTACTATTTACAGATCTACAAAAACAAATTCCTTATGGAATGCTGTATAAAGCAGAGTGACACAAAGTCCCAAGACAGGTGCAAAGGAGAGCTGCTTTATTGCAAAAACCAGGCCTTTTTAAGCAGTTAGCTGGTTATCAGTTTACTTAGTTTTAAGGCACATCCACCACCACACACCACGATGTGGACACAGGGCAGTCACCCAGCTCGTCTCTCACATCTCTCTACCCCTATTCCAGCTGAGTCACTCTCCCCTAGTTCCCTTCTAATTAGCCTAAGTAACAGGCCTGAGCCATGATTTTACAAGGGTAACAAGGCCTTTATTTTATAAGGCTTTCCCTACATGCAACAGAATGCTAAGAAATCAGAAGTCTGAAAAATGATGTGTTGGAAGTGGCTGTTGACTGGCATTGGTGAATAACTCTGCATTGAGTCTGTGACCAGGCACATAAGTGCATGCTAGCCACCTAGTATAAATTTTTTTTGTTTTCATATACCAATTGTTATGTTCATTGTTCTTAATCATAAGGATCCTGCTTTCTTACATAGACAAGTAACTTACAATGTGGTGATTAAAGAGAAGAAACACTACAATTAATCCATTTTGGCAAAGCAGAGTCCTTTGCTTATGTAGTTTCCCAATTCATCTATTCTTGAATCCATGTGAGATGTGAAGAATGTGATTATTTAATCTTTGCTCTGTCCTGGAAATTTGGGTCATAAAGTCATGCAGATTGTTTGTGACATTAGAATTCTATATGGGACTGAATATGTTTTCATTGAAAATGTTTATTCAACTTATCAGAGTATCTTAATAGTATCAGTATGTAAAGAATAAAGAATGCAGGAAAATATAGTTAAGGCTAGAATGTAAAAGGTAATTTAGTCTAATGAAAATGAAGAGAAGATCAAAAAAGACTCCAGTGTTCTCCCCATACAGTGCAAAAATCAATGTGAGGCATTCCTTAGAAAGAATGCAATATATTCGGTAAAACTCTGCACAACATACTGTTACTCATAAAAGACTAAAAGGGAAAGGCAGTGAACACAAATGCATTTTATATCATAAAATGTAAGCTTACAGCTTACATTTTTTAGAGTGATTTGTGCATAATGCATCATATATTTCAAGCAGTAGTTACGCAATTATCTTCTTTAAAAATGCTGAAATTTTTAGCCAAAAAGTGAACAATACCTTAAACTTCAATGATTATCTATAGTACATTAACTGTAAGCTGAGTTTTGTTTTTAAACACCCCCGAAAAATTTAAAAAAATAATTAGCTAAACAGAAAGGAAATGTAATAATGGTATTCATAAATGTATCATACATCTTAACTCTTGGCCTGGTCATGAAGAGTAATAAAGAATTACAACTAACAAAAACAGGCTATGTAGTGTTTTTCATTTCTCTGTTACTTAAGCATAAAATACCAGACTTCTCTTAGCTCCTCATAGTGAGCTGGCTTTCATAACAAATGTATTGTCTTCAAACAGAGCAGAGGTTCTTGGTAACTTCTCTTCACTAGAAATCACATTACATGAGGACAGAGGTATAAAAATATTTTTCATCTCCTCATTGTAATGGTGATAGAAAATTTTGTTTCATTGAGAGTTGTACTCAAATGTCCTTTATTACTTTAATTAAAAAGCATTTAAACAAAATGTAATTCAGATGAATTTTCCCTTTTATTTCACCAAATGCTTGCTTGAAAACCCCACTCTCTGCATTTAGATGATGTTGATGGTACCGTTTTGATGAAGATAGTATTTGTTTGTTGCAAAATGCTTCTTTCTGAGGGCTAAGTTCTATAGAATGCCTAGTTCTATTTTATCCTTGATATCACAGATTTGACAATATTGTTTGACTGCCTCCTCAGCAGCAGCCCTGATAGCCTTTCACCACACATAAAAGTACCCTGATAAAATTGGGAAATCCATTTTCTACTAGAATTTCATGTAAAATACCTTAAATTAAATGCTGATTTCATCAGTCGTGTTCTTCCTGGTTTCTGTGCTTCTTGTGCAGCGTTCACTGACCCATATATATTAGGAGTGGTTGTCCTGCCTGTCGCCAAAGCAAAGATTCTCTCGGGCACAGTTAACATCACTGTTGGTGCTGGAGTTCTTCAGAAGGATACAGATAAGAAAAGCAAGTATTCCTTCAGACAAAGGTTTGCCTGATCACAAAGAAAATAAATTATTTTAACAATCTTAATAGAACGGGGTACATTCACTGTAAGAAAAGTATTCAATGATGTTAGAGTTGGTTTGCAGTTTGCTTGAATGCATAGTTATTTAGCTGTCTCAGTAAATTTTCTGATGTGTTGAACTATAAAAACAAGAGAAAGCTTTTTAAAAGCTTTGGTGAAAGGAGATGTATCAGCATGCACATATTTGGGAGTTGTACCTACATATATAACTTTTTAAGAATCTTCACTCTCTGTAAATTCTCTGTTTTCAGTATCTGTGTTTACATCTAACTTCATAAAAACAAATACCTTTATTTCATGTCCTTTAGGGATAAATTTTGCACTATGCCTCAAAGTAAAGCATTCTATAAATTTTATTTAATAAATATCTGCTCAATTCCAGTTTCAAGTATCTAAGGGCCTCGCTAGGCTCTGATCTTCCACTATTACAGAGCTGTAGCCCTGTGGCTGCTAGTGCAAATTTACTCATGGAAGAGGCCTTGCTCAGCATGTTTGTGTTCCTGTAATTGTTTTAGCATTATGTCTTGTTTGTGATCTGAAGAGAATGGGAAGACAATTTTGGGAAGCAGGATTTTAAGAAGTCTCTGTAATTGGCCCACATATGCCATGCATTTTTCCACTATATTAATCCAATGCAATTGTCTCTATTTTCAAGATGAAGGAGTATATGCACAAATAAATGGGGCTGACATTATTCAAAGCCAAAATCTGCTCTGTGCTCCAAGGCATGAGTGACACATAGGTAGAGTTCTTAATAACATGTGCTGGAGCTGCATAACAAGTTCCAAGTAACAAGCTTGTAAGGATAGCCAAGTAGATTAAGTTTAGTAATTCCTGAAGAGAAAAAGTAAGTTGTAAAAACATCTTATATCTTGGCATTACAGTCTTAAAGCTGCACTGAGAAGAAAGAAAATAGACAATGTAAGGAAACAGCTGCCTGCAAAACATATTGAATAGGCTCAGTGCCAAAAATGGAACATGCTATGTGTGCTATAATAAATACATAACAAGGGTTATGTCTTCCTCATTATCAGTTTTAGAATATCAAAAAGGTTTTACAAAAGTTAAAAATCAAGATTTGAACGATAAGTGTACTAACGGCATAACACAACAATCAGAAAAATCCTGCTGTTGATAAAAAGCAAATATGTGAATATTAGAAGAGACAAATGCTTCTGGTGGGTGGTGTGAAATTGAAACAACCTTTGCAAACCAACCTTAGAGATGGATAGCTGATCTCACTCTCAAATATCACAGTCCCTTTACAGAGACAATTACTTTTCAATTTGCAAGACAGACAAAGAACTTAGTTTGAAAAGCCAAAATTGGGTGCTACATTTATCCTCTAAAAAGTGTTCCCTTTTTAATCTACCCATTGACACTGATATTCTCATCCAGAGAAAATGAAAGCATTTGTTACACCTCATCTACATGCATCAAAGTAAGAAAATTAGAGCAACTTAGAACTAGGTGGGATTCCTTGCCCATATTCTTGCTTCATTGTACATACTGTCTGAACCCTTTCATTGTTCACACTAAAACTGCATATTATATAAATATACATGCAATTATTTTTCTGTCTCATTTCAAATGATTTATTAGCATTTTTAATAGCACTAGATCCCTAAGCGAACATCCACAAGTAGTTTCACACTCTTTGGTTTTAGGCACTTAATTTAGATCTGAAGTTTAGAGACCACATGCTTCTGTCACACTAATTAACAGTGAGATTGTTCCTCTAGAAAATGACCCATGCCAGGTGCCATGCACCAACACATGCAGAATAGTATTATGAAGAAACGTTCTCTCCATAAATTACATAAACAGTTTCCCAGTTTCTGTACTTCTGCCCCATGCTGTGTAAATTGCAACAGTACAGTCCTGACCCCAAGCCCCAACCAACCCCCTCCAGATTATATTATCAAACAAAGGCTATAATCAAGCTAAAAGGGGCTGCACATTTCACCTGCCAGCTTCAGTCCTGTACACTGTGAGAACCTGTAACCTGATGCAAATAAGCTTTCCAAGGCAACTTCAAATATAACTTTAATGAGGGTGAAGGACCTTCAGGATTTTCCCCTGGCATCAGACGATGATTGAGGGACCATACTAGAAGTTGCAGGTGAGTACAGCGAATTTGGTAAGCCAGTCTCCATCTACACTGGTTCTACTTTCATTCATTGCTTCTGTTGACATAAGGGAGGCTAAATCAAGATTTATTATAACCAGTTTATTTCACCCATCACCAAATATCAATACTTGGATATCTGTGTGTAGCAGCAATCAGGCTACCAAGTGTGATATGTTATTTAGGTCATTACTTACAATTTTTTCCATTTGATCCATGTGTTAAAATTAGGATAGATCCTTAAATAAAAATCTCCATGTCAACATATTTTACCTTTAATGTACTGCTATGACCCCAAAGCTGTGTTTTAGAAGTAAACTACAATGAAAAAATCAGGGAACAAGAGAATATGGAAAATGTTGCTTTCATCCGAGTCCTGAATTATGCTTGCATGTCAGGAAATGGGAGGAACTGAATACCCAGTATTACAAAATGCAGCATAGTATTAAATAACGGCAATAAACCACACACATATGCATATCATATCATAAAGTTTTACATATTAATAGAGAAAAAAACCCCCAGAAATTAAATTTTCTTTTCACTTCTTACACAAAGAAAGTAAAATCAGACAGTGGCATGTAAAAGAAAATTGCATTTCCAAAATTCTTTGTTTTAAAAGTGACTGGGTGTTTCTACAACAGAGATGAATCTGGTTGGCTTGACTGCACTTACTGACCTCTGCTCAGAAACGTGTTCACTAGTTCTTCAGTCTGGGAGCCACTGCATATGACTAAATGTCTGCCTTCAGCTTCAAGGCAACATTACAACGTGGCAGTGAATTTAGTTCTGCTTTTAACGCCTTTTTATCTTCTGCATCTTTTAGAATAGTGCTCTCTCTCTGTTTCTATTGATCTAATTCTATATGATGTTTCAAGCTTCCTTCTCATAAACTAAAATGTTCTTCAACTGCAAACAAAATTTTTTTTATTTCTTTCTACTGGAAGTCTTTGGCATACTGTGGGCTCTACTGGAAAAGGCTGTGAATCACAAGCTATCGCCCTGTTTAAATAGAAAAACATAATAAATGCAAGGTGATAGCCTGCCTGTTCCTGCCCCCACATGCACATTTGCCCTTCATGGTGCTCCTCATGAACAAACAGGACATTATTTTTAGACTTTCGCTTCTCCAGAAGGAAGGCATGGAGGAGCTGCTGAGCAACCGCATGAAGGAATGCAGTAGCTAGTTCTCCAAAACAACCACCAGAATGGCTCCATCTGAGCCTCTGCTCAGAAGCAGTACAGCTTTATTCCCCTGATTAAGTAACACTGAATTATGAAAATGGCAGGGGATGGCACAAAGGCATGTTTTCACTTCTCAAGGCTTAATTTGAAGGAAATAAACTTGAAGAAGACAAACTTCAGAGCTTTTAAGAGCTTCATTACTGACCTGAACTAACTACGGTTATAACAACCTTTACCACGTCCTGTGTAAGGAAACAAGTCAACTTGTTTTATATCTAATGCATGTTCTGGCTCAACTAAATTGTTGTAGTATTAACACATGGACTGCTGAAATTTCAACCATTTTGAAACAGGTCATAGCAGTCTTGAATCATGTGAATTTTCAACAAAACACAGCAATTACCTCCTACCTCCATTGTTACTGCTTTTATTTGACTGGTTTCATGCTTGTGTATCTGCTGGTGTGCATGGAGGACAAAGCAGACACCATGGCAGTGTTGCTTAGAGACCTAAACTCAACTGTAAACACCAAGGCATATTAATTTGATCCTTAGCTTTGCAACACAATGGTAATTCTGAATCCCAAAACAGGAGGATGGCCAATCCAAACAGTCTTTTATTGCAGCATACAGAACCATGTGCTACCTGGTTTCTGTTATGGACCATGGTTCCTTTCTTTGTTCAGTGCCAATGACACAACCAGGTCTTGCCATGGCTGATGTGGGGTAAGAAACAAGTGCTGCAGAGTTCATGAGGATTCATTCCGGTGCCACCATAACACAGCACAACAGAGTCTGAGCATGTTGCCTTTAGGGTGGGACGTTCTCAAGTTCACTGCAAATAAATGTGCTGCACAACTTCCAGCAGTATCATGGAGCCCTGATGAAACTAAACATTTGCTTTTATTGATGAGAAATTTGTCTATGCACCTGCTTATTTCAAGGTCTGTGTGAGAATCACAGAATCATAGAATGTCAAGAGGTTGGAATGGACTTTGAAGATCATCCTGTCCCAACCCACTTCCCATGCTAGGCAAAGCAATCTCCCACCAGACCGTGTTGCTCAAGGCCTTATTCAACTTCAATGATGTGAGGGCTGAGGCACCCACAGCTTCTCTGAGCAACCTATTCCAGTGTCTCATCCACTACCACAGTGAAGGATTTCTTCCTAAAATCGCACTTAAATTTCCTCTCTTCATTCGTACCCATTACTGTTTGTCCTATCGCTACAGATCCTGACGGAATTCGCTTCAGATACGGGAAGGTTGCTATGGGCTGTCCACACAACCTTCTCTTCCCCATCTCTTCACCAGACTTCACCAGCCACAGCTCCCTCCATCTGTCTTTGCAGAGGAGGTTCTCCAGATCCCTCATCACCTTCATGACCTCCTCCGGACTTAATCAGCCTTCTTTTCCGCTGGGGACCCCAGAGCTGGATGCAGTGTTCCAAGCGCGCTCTCACCAGGACGCAGCGGAGGGGCATTCAGAATACCGCTCTGCTGCCCACGCTGTTTTTGACGCGGCCCGGGATGGGGCTGTTTTTCTGCCAAGTTTCAGACCTCCCCTAAGTGACGAGCCTCTTTCCCAGAAGGATGGGACCGAGCCGCCCCCTCCCCGCGGCCCCGGGCGGAGGCGGCGGCGCCGTGAGGGGAGGGGAGGGGAGGGGGGGGAGCGGCGCCCCGTGCGGCGCCGCGACCTCGGCCGCTCTCGGCCGAAGCGGCCACCGCGCGCCCCCGCTGCGGGGAGGCGTCGCCGCCGCCGCTCTCCCCTCGGCCGGGAGGAGCTACGGCTCGCAGGCGAAGGAAGAGGAGGAGCTGCGCGTCCGGTACCTGGATGATGAGCACAAAGGTAACGAGGGGAAGGCGGCTGTGCACCTGCTGTCCCGGCCTGGCAGGGGTGACCCCTGCGGGCAGAGAGAGGGCGGCCCTGGGGGAGCTGCCCGGCGGCGAGAGGCGGGAGGAGAGCCGTGGCTCCTCCTTCCCCCTGTGCCCGCGGCCGGGGCTGCGTCGCAGAGTGCTGGGAGCTGCCGGCATGGCGTGGCAGTAGCAGAACTGGGTCGGCTTGGTTTTTCTCGGCTCTTCACTGCATCGTAGAACGGTTCGGGTTAGAAAGGACCTTGAATGGGTCTAACTCCTCTGCCGTGGGCAGGGACACCTCGTACTAGACCAGATTTTCTTAGAGCCCCGTCCAGCTGCGCTTTGAACACCTCCAGGAATGGGGCATCCACAGCATTGGTGGGCAACCTATTCCAGTGCCTCACCACTGCCACAGTAAAGATTTTCCTCTTATTAAGTAATCTAGACCTGTTCTCTTTGAATTTGAGCCAATTCCACCTTCTCCTGTTGCTACATGCTCTTTCAGGTAGGTTCCCTTCAGGTACTGGAAGGTTGTGATTGGGTCACTTCAAAGCCTTCTCATTTCTACACTGAACAGTTCCAATTCTGTCAGCCTTTCTTTGTAGGAGAGGTGTCCCGTTCTTATCATCTTGATGGCCTCTGGACTCCAGCAGTTCCATGTCTTCCCTGTGCTGGGACCCCAGAGCTGGGTGCAGGCTTCCAGGTGGGCTCTCAGCAGAGCAGAGCAGAGGGGCAGAATCCCCTCCCTCCCCTGCTGCCCACGCTGCTTTGGATGCAGCCCAGGACATGTTTGGCTTTCTGGGCTGGGAGTGCCCATGGCTGGGTCATGCCCAGTCTCTCAGCCACCAGCACCCCAAGTCCTTCTCCCCAGGGCTGCTGTCATTTAAATGGAGCAAGTGGAGACTTGCTCATCCTCAGCCTCTGCTGATACTAGAGGTTACTCTGACCCAGGTGCAGCACCTTGTACTTGGTCTTGTTAAACCTCAGCAGATTCCCGTGGGCCCACTTCATGAGCTTGTCTAGGTTGCTGTGGATGTCATCTCGTCCTTGAGGTGTGTCAACAGCATCACTCTTCTTTTTTAGAGTACTGCAGCATACGCACTGTGTTTGTGAGGTACATACACCTCTGTGAACTGGCATCTGTTTGCCACTCTAATTCTGAGAAAATGAAGTTTAGCAGCAAATATCTAGAGTCATGCTGCTTCAGACATCAGTTTTGTGCTTGTGTGCAGGGGGCAGAGAGGGCAAAAAACTGATATCCATGTTTTCTGTGGCGGAAGGTATGGCTTCAGTATTCTCTCATCTCATGCCACTCTCCTAATAATCATCTCATCTTCCTCCTTGCTTTTAGTGTTGTCAACTACTACTCACTTTTTTCTACTCAACTGTATCAAGAGTCTTATTTTAACTCACCTGTTTAAAAAAAGAATGAAAATCTGTGCTCCTTAGTGACGTGCAGCCAGTGCATCACAGCACAGACACTTTGTACTTCCTCTTCTGATGTGATGCTCTCTGGATTTTAGAAGTGTTCTACTTCCTTTGGTGTTTGTCACTTCCTTCCCCTGTGGATGTAGCAGGGCTAGGAATGGTGGAGAAGAAGTAAGTGCAAACTCTGTTCCTGAGGGTTTATTTCTTTAGCCATGATGTTATACCTGCTTTTATGGAGAGGGCCATAGTATAGGGTTTTGGTTATCTGCAGCATATGAATCTCTTCACATGGAAAATATATCTTGGAACCGCCATGTGTTGGGAGGTACAGTTTAGTTTACATCTTTGAGCACATTAACTCAGCTGTTTCACACCTCCTGCCAATTTAGGCAAATGCTTGTGAGTTGAGTACGTATGCCTGTACATAGATTTGTATACATATACAGAGAGGTAACTTTAAAACTTTGAATTTTAGTATGAGTTTAGAAGATTCTTTTTTCTTTTTCAAGGGAACACTGATGTTGTGCTTTCATCTGAGGGCAGGTTTTTGTCATTATTTAGTAAAGATGATATAATCTGATCCTGAAATTATCTTCTGTCTTGTAGTTCTGTTCCCAACTCCTTCCACTTCCTTTAAAATGTGCTTCTTTAGTCCTGTTTTTCCAGCTGACTATGGAACTTGGAAATAGTTTAAAATATCTATTCATATTGTTTCGGGATTATTTTAAGTTAAGGAAGAGAACAAGACAGAAGCAAAGAAGAGTTTGTAAAATCTTAGAAGAGTGTTTTTCCTTGCTTATTTTGTGCTTTACCAAGAAGTGGTAGAAAATATCACGATCTTACATACTTTTACATACTTACTTTTACATGCATACTTACTACGACTTTTATTTCTGTTACACAACAAAAAAAAAAATTAGGCAGTGTGTTCCAGCTGTTGAATCAGCTAAGAATCATTGTTTTTGTAATGTTATGGAGGTATTTCATACTGAATATGTAGCCTAATGCCCCAAAACTTAGAGATAGTATTTGTAATGTTAAAGCAGCTGTTGCTGGCGTAAGGAAGGATTCAATCAGTGTATTTTTAATTAATGAATTCTCTTAAATGGAAGGCATTTTCTTTCGTATTGTCTTTCAGAAGGACATAGAAACAAGTGCTGTTTGTTAGAAAAAGATAAGAACAAGGATGTAGAAATAGGCCAGAAGGAGACATTAGCTTCATATGCCTTCTTCAGCAGCACAAAGAGCAAGCAACAAAAATTTCTGCAGAAGAAACATGGCTCTGCTTCCTCCCTGTAGTGCTAGCGCATGTCCTCCTCCTCACCTTGTACGCCAAGTTCATCTGTATTTATCTGCTTACAGCATGTAATATCTCTGCTTAATGAGGGCACCAGCTCTGTAAACACCCCTGTGGCCTTTCTTGCTCCTTTCTACCCTGCCGTTCCTTGAGCTACCATTTAATGTTCTTGACTTCCCCACATGGTACTCTGGTCCCCCCATGGCCTCATCACGCCATCCCACTACATACTTCTTGACTTCACGCACGTTCAGACCCTGCTCTCTGACTGCCTTTTGTAGCACACACATCTTTGTTGATGCTGTGCTTGTGCTCTTAAGAGCACATGCCTAGTGTTTCCATGTTGCTCAGAGAGCGCTGTGAATACTGGGGAGTAAGGAAAACCAGCTGTATCTGCCTCACGTACAGGCACATGTCTTGTAGCACTAAACAATTCTTTGCCTTTAGGCAAAGTAGCAAACTGTTCTGCTTCATATCTCTTCCATGTGATTTGCATACCTCAGGTCTTGGGCGGTTGTTAAACATGAAGTAAAATGAGACTATGTTGGCAAAGGCTAGTTATGGAAATTTTAACTCAAGGCTTTCCAGCTTCCAAGTTTGAAATTTAACTGGAACTAGAATACAAAAGGAGTGAGATTTGTGAAGAATGTGATTGAAAAATACCTGTATATTCTGCCTATGTTGCAACTTGTGAAGCTCTTAGTGTCAGTTTTCTATGTATAAAGATGACTGTCAGTGTATTGTTTTTTTAAAATTAAGTATATATATTTTACTTTATTTGAGATTCTATTTGATCATCAATAGGGCTGAAACGTATTACAGCTATTGACATTTTAAAACGTAGTCAAATTCCATTAGTGATCTCATTACAAATTTAAATGACCCTAGTGCTTTGGATTTTTAAGTTATATTGGGAGAAATACCATTTTAGTCTTGACTCCAGTGTAGCAGTGCCACTTGCTGGAATGTGATATAAATATTTTTAAAATTTAGATTTTATGCTAGAATGACTCCTTATGGTCAAATTTCTGAGCTGGTTTTGGTTCAGTTTAGAATAAGACAGCTTGTTGTCTTCATCAGTTAGAATTTTAATGTACATGGAATGGGCAAAACCAAATACAGTCTTGGCTGAAGTTGTTTGCTCAGAGGTTGGAAACTGATAGCTAGCTAATAAATTGGAAAAACTTCCATTTGCTGTGTTTAAAGCAGGGCTGAGCAGGTGAGATCTACTAACTTAAGAAATGTGGAAAACTCTCAGAATTTAGAGATGAAACAGGCTCAGATAGGGGATTTTGAAGAGTGTTGTGGTGCTTTTAAAAAATGCTGGTTGGTACACATCTGTGTGATTTTTCACTTAAATACTTCTTGATATGATTAATGAAAGCCACCAGAATTGTGCATGATATATTCACCATATGTTCCTGTTTTGCTTAAGAAACTACTTCAGAATAATAAACATCTAAGTCCACTTCTCTGCCTTGTTCTATCTGATTAGTTAAGTGAAACAAGCTTAAAAATAACTTACTTCTATCCCCCTTCCACTTTTCAAAGCATAATTCATACTTTTTAAAATATTTTTTTAATTATGGGAAATGATCTCTGTGTGTGTATTTAATGGAAATAAATAATAAAATAAATACAAATAAAAAGAATTCTGCAAGTGCTTTATATGCAGATGTAGTGAATCTTTCAAACTCTGGCAAAATGTCTAGTATTGATTTAAAGACAAGATCAATTTTTAAGTAACCATTTAAATGTGTTTCTACCAAACACTGAGGATGAATACTTTGATCTCTAAAATGTGCAAGATAAAAGATATTAAAAACATTATTAAAATTAAGATCTCCTATGTGCTGATACAAACAATAGTTAAACTGGGATCTAATCTCTTCACTTGATTCAAGTAATAAATTTAGCTATTGCTATGAAGCCAGGATGTTTCTGGGAAAGTATGGATATTTTGAACCTATCTTCCAGATACGTATGTGTCCTTATTTCAGTGAAAGACATCTCTTGCTTTTACTATGGTTTCATTTTATAATATAACTTTCATTTTTGTCATATAACTTTTATAAGTTTCATTTCCTTTTTCTCTTAAACACTGAGAATTATACCACAAGCAGCTTTCTCTTTTAACAGGGGCGACTTGTAAGTAGAGAACATACTGTACATTTATGTATGCTTTGCCTCTAATGGTTGGCTAGGAAAGTAGTATACAGGAATATTGCTGCTTATGTTAGACAACACTGGGAATCATTGTCTCTTGGAGAGCCTAGCCAGTTAAGATGAAGTTAGTTTTCAGTATACAGATGTATTTTTAATAGATGCACATTATGTGCTGAAGTGTGTCGCAGAAATAATGTGGGGATGACTCCCAGGAAAAACTATGACCTTAATAATTGGCTTAGCATTATGTGAATGCTTGTTCCTTCTTAGTAGATCTGTCACATTGTTGATACCTTACAGATACATCAACAAAGCAAATACTACTACTACTAATTTCTACTTCAATTAATTAATTAATTATTATGTATTTATTAATTTATTAACTTTATTATATATTTTCTTTCTCGAGTTTTCAAACAGTTAATTTAAAGTATTTTGGAAAGCGTATATATATGTGTGTGCTTTAGGAAGAATGAACCATGATTAAATGTTTTAGATGACAATGTAACAGGTATTATTGAAATATCACCGCCCTCAGGTCAAGTCCCCCATGACTGGAAAATGGGAAACATTGTACCAATCTTTAAAAGGTACAGACAGCTGAAGCCTGGGAACTAGGAACCGGTGAGCCACACATCTGTGCCTCCCCTCTGTGATGAACAGATCCTTCTAGAAGCTGTGCTGAGGCACATGGAGGACAGGGAGATGATTCAAGATAGCCAGCAGGGCTTCACCAAGGGCACGTCCTGCCTGACCAACCCAGTGGCCTTGAATGATGGAGTTCACTCCAGTGGTCAAGGGAATGGCTGCAGATGTCATTTATCTGGACTTCTGTAAAGACTTTTGCAGAGTTCCCCACAACACTATTCTTTCTAAAGTGGAGAGAGATGGATTTGGTGGATGGACTGTTCAGTGCATGAGAAGTTGGTTTAATGGTGGCATTCAGAGTGTAGTGGTGAATGGCTCAGGATCCTGATGGACATCAGTGACAAGCAGTGTGCCTCAGGGGTCTATACTGGGACCACTGTGATTTAGTATCTTCATTGATGACATAGATGAGGGGATTGAGTTCACCTTCAGCAAATTTTTGGATGATACTAAGCTGATGCTTTTGACACACTTGAAGGATAGGATGCTATCCAAAGGGACCTGGACAAACTTGGGAAGTGGGTCCATGGAAATCTCATAAAATTTAACAAGACCAAGTGCAAGGTGCTGCACCTGGGTCAGAGTAACCTCTGGTATCAGCCCTGGCTGAGGACGTGCAGATGGAGAGCAACCCTGGGGAGAAGGACTTGGGGTGCTGGTGGCTGAGAGGCTGGACATGACCCAGCCATGGGCACTCCCAGCCCAGAAAGCCAAACGTGTCCTGGGCTGCATCCAAAGCAGCGTGGGCAGCAGGGGAGGGAGGGGATTCTGCCCCTCTGCTCTGCTCTGCTGAGAGCCCACCTGGAACCCTGCACCCAGCTCTGGGGTCCCAGCACAGGGAGGACATGGAGCTGTGGGAGTGAGTCCAGAAGAGCCATGAATATGATTAGAGGGATGAAGTACCTTTCCTGGGAAAAAAGTCTGAGGGAATTGGAACTGTTCATCCTTCGGGATGGCCTACTGTGACATTCCATATTCTGAAGGGAACCTGTAAGAAACATAGAGAGAGGCTTTAAACTGGAAGAGAGAAGCTTTAGTTTAGATATTAGGAAGAGATTCTTTACTTCTAGGAACTGAAAGTGGTTGTCCAGAGAAGTGGACACCCCATCCCTGGAGGTGTTCAAGGCAATGTTACACAGGCCTCTGTATAACCTCGTCTAGTGCAAGGTGTCCTTGCAGGAGGCTTGGAGCTAAATGATCTTCAAGGTCCATTCCATCCTCAGGATGCTCAGATCTTGTAGTAATGGCGTATCAGAACAATAATGATCCAAATGTGACTGTAAGGCATGTCTTTTGTATATATATCACTGCAATATGTAGCTTTCTCTTCCAAACCTTTTATACTTTTCCTCTTGCAATTCTTGCTTCATATTTTTTTCATACTTAAATGAAAACAACTGGGTGGGTGCTGTATTTATCTTTTATTTCTTTAAAAGGAAGCAGAAGTGGTAGTTTTATGACTTGATATCGACACTGCTAAGCAAAAATTGACTTGTATGATTTGTCTTCAAGGATAATTCCTTTGTAGGAAAAAAATGTTTAAAGTATTTCAGTGTTAAGTGAAGCTTCCTTCTGAATACAATATTTTTGGTGGTGGAGTAGCAGTCTTTGGGCTCCAGTGCAGAGAAGAAAAATTCAAGTGTCATTAAGTGTTATTGCCATTAAGTATAACATGCTTCTGAAAAGGATGCTATTTCCTGACTGAATTATGGTTTGGGGCAATAACATCTCCAGTTTATTCAAGCATGGGATTTGTAGTGTCTGAAAATCAAAGTGAAGTCAGGGTGAAGGGTGTTTTTGTTGCTTTAACGTAGGATGGATGATGCTTTTGCCTAATCTAGTTGTATTGAACATATAGAATATTTGAATTTGGAGTGATCCTCCTCCTGGAGAAGAAGTTGTAACAGCTGAAGAAAAGTGCTACAGCACCGCTTGTTTTTGCTTAACAGCATATAAACAGATTGCTATGCAAGTGCTGAGTAACAACCTTTGCAGGTGATCCTGTATGAATACCTCCAGCCATAGGTGTAATCGTGGGAATTTTGGCTTGTAGAACAGGGGAATGAAGGTCATTTGGGTTGAACTGGCTCCACGCCTTTTTAAGAGGTATCTGTACTTAACAATTGACTGTACCTTAAGAACAGGAAAGGCATGTGTGCTTTATTGCTGCATTTGACACTATTTTTATTTGAATCTTGACAGTGGTAGCTGGCAAATGGAAGACTTTGTCTTCAAATTGGTAACTGCAGAAGGAGCAGGAGCTCTTTTAAATCTTGTCTTGTGTCCTAAGTGAGGACAGGTTTTCCAGAAACAGAAGCAGAATGCACTGAGATGACAAGGAAGGCTACAAGAGCATAATTATGTATAGATTGTACATTCAAAGCTGAGTGGTGAAGTAGTAATCACCTGGGCAAACATTAAGTTTCTGGAATTCTGTTTTTTCAAATCATAGGTTGGTGGCAATACTGTGGTCATTTTTGTTTGAAAAAGAGCTTCCTTTCTGCCTTTCATTCCTGGTCTTGCCCTAGTCCTTTTTTCCCCCCTTATCTTTGCATTTTCTGCATAAAAGGTCCTGACTGATAAAATGTTACCAGGACAGGATCGGGACTGTGTGCTGGTGTTTTGAACTCAGGCAGCTGTGTGGGTTCTAGCAGTAATTGTCTAAAAAATTGCTATAGTTGTGGTAAACTTAGGCATTGCCAAAAAAGACTTTTCAGAATTTTCCTCTTTGATATTAATGCCAGTTAAGGTGAGGGGAGCATAATAAAGACAATTTTTGTTTCTGCTGCAACATTCCAACGAACGCACAGGTTATCAGTCAGTTAGACAATTGATCTGTAACTGGACTAAGGGAGCTGTGAATGTGTCTTTGGAGCCACGTACCAAGCACTGAGTTTAATTTTTGTGTTCCAGGGAGAATTTTTGTTTGATTTTTTCCCTTTTTAAACAAAAATATCAATTTTTCCCATTGGTGGCATTCTTTCTATGTTTATTACTTCTTTTTACCTGTATCAGAGTTGCTGGTCTTTGCTCTGATATGCTTTAAAAATTTCTGGAGATAGGCTCTCTAATATGGAAATTTGTGCTTTACAATTAAGCATCTTTCCTGATGGTGTGTCAGCACTTCATGCACAAACATGAAATTTTTGCATGCAGTTGTGTAATTCTACATTCAACCTTTGTAAGCACTGTTTCCACACGACAGTGTTGGGGCCCCATTTCTGTTCTTAAAGTAAGTGTAATTTCTGTTGAGTATTGAAAAGAATAAATAATTTTATTTTCTTTCAGAAACTCAGTAGTGATTACACCAGCATTTTTTTTCAGTCCTCAATGCCTTTTGTATGATTTCAAAATAATAATAATTTGTGTAGATGATACATATTTCACTACATTGTAACCATGATGTGATCTTTCTTCCTCTCTAGGAATTGTGGTGCTTGGATTAAACAGATCTCATGCCAAGAATGCACTTAGCAAAAACCTTGTAAAAATGGTAAGTGAAAAGAATAGTTTTTACTATAAAGGGGAAGTATTGGAATGAAGCACTTTAAAAAGTGTTTGGTGATTCCTCTTCCTCCTTTTCTCTGTAGATGTCAAAAGCTGTGGATGCTTTGAAATCTGATAAGAAAGTACGAACTGTTGTATTCCGGAGTGAAGTCCCGGGGATATTCTGTGCTGGTATGCAAACTTAATTTTCCTAAAAATCTGGAAATCTGTATTCTCTAATTGCACTTAAAAAAAAAAAAAAAAAAGGAAAGAAAAAAAGGAAAAAAAAGGCCCAGATTCCAAGGAAACATGTCTTTTTCCTATATTCATTTCAGTAAGAAAATATTTTTAAATTATTTTCTTCAATTGCTAAAACAAATCAAATATTGGGTTTATTCTTTCTGTGTCATAAAGTATTTAAAAATATATACTAGTTTAACCGTGATAGTAAAAAACCATTCAATTGATCTAGAAACTCCTGCAAGCATGTCAGAATAAGGTGCAAATAATTTGAGGCCATATAAAGAGGCTTTGTAGAAAGCTGTATCAACCTTTCTTTTCAATGCATAAACTTGAACTTTTAATTAAAGAAACATATGCAAACTTAAAATTTCATGATGAATATGCATGTTACTGCAGGCGAATGTATTCTCAAATTAAAAACAAATCAAAACAAAAAGCACACACCCCAGCCCACATATCCAACAGTACATGCATCTTGCCAAAGTGCTCAGAAAAGCAAGAGCTCTCAGCTACTAGATGCTGAGAAACAGAATATGCTGACATGTCAAGATCACTTCATACAGCAGTATCTTTTATGAATATCAAATGAATTATCTTATTTAAAAATGTTTCAACCAGTTCTTACTTTATTCAAATTTAATTTATGTCCATTTGAAATGGAAAACAGCAGTAAACCAGTTTGCTCTAATACATTAATAGAACTGTCAAGAAAGAGATCAGTTCTGAAACTTCATTTTTCTGATCATTTGTGTAGTTGTCATTCTTGATAATCCCAAATAGCGTAATTAATTTAGTTTTAAATGCAAAATAGTTTTTCCAATTTTTAAATATGTAATGTACCTAAGCACTTTTAGTTGAGTTTAAAATTCTTCTTGTGGCTTTTAGTAAGCCTGTTTTCATGGTGATACAGTTTGCACTTAAAAGACTTGTGAAAATAATTGTCTTGTAAAAAAGGGAATAATCAATTCAATGCTTAGTAATACATATAAATAGGTTAAATGTGTATGTATTAATCAGCATATGTAATTTAAAGGTTGTAACTTGTTTTAAATTTTAGTCATCTCAGAAAAAAATCTGTAGTTTTTAAACTGATGAAGAATCAGAGCAACACATGCAAATGGTGTTTCAAGTTAAATGTTATGTACTTGAAATAAAAAGATGTTGTTAGAGTTTTTAACGATTTTTTTTTACATTCTTGAATTTTGTGATAGTGGTATATTGGAAATAGGAGAGTAGAAATACTGATTTTAAGGGAGAGTATCTCAAGTATGCTACTGTTACTGTACTTATGAGCTCCAAGTATGTCTCCAGTATTCTTTGTTAGCTGTTTTTTCTGAGCTGTTTTGGTATAAAGATTTAACATACTCATTGCTGCTTATTTGTCTGGCTTAGAAAACCAAGCAATTCAGATGTGTATTAAGACATAGCAATAGAGAAGATACCAGGACATTAGGAAGGAAAATTAGTCCTGAAAAGAAGACTGTGAAAGACAAGGGCTGGGTAGCTATATTGGGATCTTAACCCAGGGAGTAGAGACAGGGTGTCTCTAGGTCTCTCTGATTTTAAAAAAGTGATGGGTAAAACAAGTGTCCTAAGAAAGGAGATTTCTGTAGCTGAACAAGTGAATTAAATGATGTTCCAACAGTGGTAACTGAAATTTAGAATGAAACAGAATACCTGATGCAGAGTTTGTTACTGAAAATAGATGAAAATTGCACAGTGGGTGGATGGATTGCTTCAGTAGGTGACTTTAATGGGTGTCTCTAAAGAGAACAATAATAGAGGAAGCATAGTGAGATCTGGAAAAACCAGGTTAATAGCTTTGGGAGATAAGGAGTGGAACATACTGGATGTAAGAAGGCAGTTTCTGGAGGGGACTCAGGAAATTCAGTAGAACAGAAGAAAGTGTTTTCAAACTTAAATGTTAAAGGAGAATATGTTACTTCAAGAACATTTAATTTCCTTAAAAAATGCAAGGATCATCTTGTGAAATGTCACATTTTCTTATGCCTTATAGTGCTATTTAGTTAGGCTAAACCTGGAATTTATTTTTTTTTGTATTTCCTCAATAATATTTTCTTGCTAGCATGTGTGGGAATGTATGTTTTTTAAAATACACTTTTATGACTATTTTTTGGACCACCATCTGATGTTTTACAGACTGCATATTGAGAAACTTTGTCCTAGAATGTAGTTCCCTTTTATGTGTGGAATGAAGTCCAAGATCATTAAATCCTGCCATTCCTTAGCTATCAGCACATATCTGTGAAAGCCACAAGCCAAGTGTCTTGTTTCCTTCTAAGGCCTAGTCCACAAAACATGACATCCAACCATTTTTTTCAAAGTAGCAATGTGGATGATTAAAATATTTAAACTCTTTTGATGACTGATGCAGATTTGGGTATGATTTCAAATTATGGTATTTTCGCATGGTGAAATTGGAGGGGGACAAAAATGGAATTGTATAAAAAAATGTAGAGATGTGCCAGAAATTATATCCTTTCATTCCTGCATAAAAATTCACTTTAAGTCTTTACCTATCTTTTTTGTGTCTCTTTTTTTAATACTTTATGCATCCATGTATGCAGAAAGCTCCTCATTAATGCTCTAGGACTGATCAAAAGGGATGCCCAGAAATCAAAGCCTTGCGTGTCTGGGGTTAAGGGTATCTATGATTATGCATAGGCTATGTCTTTGAGTAAATATGTCTGTAAGGGCTTCTTGTGCTTCCATTAGAAATGTTCTGTCACTGAGTCACTTCTTGTCTCCTTTCTTTCTACATCTGAAATCAAATAAGTTAAGTATTGGTCTTTCTGGAGTGAACATGTATGACCAGTCCTGTCCTATGTAAGCTGAGGCTGTGTACTTGCAACATTCTGCAGCCAAAGTAGGTGAGTCTGTAAAGGAGTCTTTATTTCCTGACAGTGTTCCATTCCTGAGGAAGGCATAGGCTTATGCATGGAATAAGGCAGGTGTCTCATGGGTAAAACGTATGTGATCAAGTAATCGTGGGCTGTGCTGTGTTCACACAAGGGGCCAAATTACATTCACATGTAATTTGATTTTTCTTTATTAATAAAATCCATCTTGATTTTTCTTTATTAATATAATTTTAACATATGTATATTAATGATATTGCTGAGGTGCTTTTTGTGAGCAGATTTTTGGCTTTTTTAATCTTCAGAATATTTCTAGAAGTAAGTCTGCATAATAATGTTGGATGGTACAGTACTGTGAGGAAGAGAGGAGGCAGTATCCACAAGTTGTTGTAAAATCTAATTTTGTGTTGGCATGTTTGCAGAATGGATTGGAAGACACTTCAGTGAGGTCATCTGGTCCAACCTCACTGCTCAGTCAGAGTCATTCTGGAGACAGTTTTAGAGCTTCTTCTGATTTTAACTACATGAGGTCAAAAAAAAAGTACAAGTAAAATACTTTGTTTAAGAGCAGTTTTTTCAGTTTTCAGAGTATTGGAGAATGGTTTTTGTCTGGAGAATTGAACAAGCTAATATTGCACCTTAAAGCTTTTGTTGTTCAATTTTCTAAGGCTTTGAATAGAAGCTGAGATAATATTTATAAAACTTCTAGTTATTGTAGAATTTTACCTTTGGATATGTTTTGGCTGAAGCTGAAGCCTGCGGCATGGTTCTAGGTCTCCTGTTTTCTGTTTTTTCCTATCTCACGCACTCTTAAGGGTATGTTTGATGATGTGAAATAGAGATTATGCTATATTTTGCAACTGAAATCTATGGGATCAAGTAATAATGTTACATTTTAAAGAGTTTTATGTGTTGATGGTTATAGTGATTAAAGAAACAGGTACTGATTATATTCTTTTCCATCTACCTGTTTGCTGTTCCTTGTATTGTTGTTTTTCTTGGTTGTGTCATGTTCCTCCATCCCTCTGTTCTTGTCCAGTCAAGAAAGCATTAAAAAAACAGATTCTTGATGTATTTGTCTCATTGGCCCATTGGTTCAATTTACAGCTCATGCTAATAAATAAAACCCCTTTACCATTCAGAGTAGTTTTACCATTCAGAGTAGTTTTACCATTCAGAGTAGTACCTCTGATGCCTCAACAACCAGGACTGTTGCTTAGCTCTTACTGTCCAAGTCCAGTCAGAGATTATTTCTCTTAAAAATCCACATATGAGTTGTTGTCAGTTTCCCTGCATCCATCTGTTCTCTGTTGATATGCAGAAAAAAAAAATCCCAATATCTCCTAAAGGAGAAAAGGATTAGAGGAACACACTGGTTCTGGATTTTGATTTGCCGGGGAGAGTTAGGAGAGCTTTTTGTTTAACTTGTAACTTCTTGAGACTTTTGTGGTGAGTGTGTTTAGAGTGTAAGTGTTTAGAACTGTCTCTCTTCAGGATTGTTTTTTCAAAGTGAACTAGACTGTATGAAATAGATGTTGTGAGGTTGACGGGTTATTTGCTTTGTATATGCGTGCATGCAAAGAGAGCAAGCTTTGGAACAATTTTTACTTGACATATTTGGAAAATATTCTTTGGAGACCTTATTTCAAAAATCCTTGAGACATATCAGAATATAGACAGTTAACTTTTTGCTGTTGTTGTAACAGGCTTTCAGGACAGTTTGAAAAATTCTGGTATTTGAGCTCTTTAAACCACTTTGACCTAAAAGTTACTGCAGCTTGGCCAATAAAGTCCCTTCTTGGAAAAGCAGAAGAAATCTCTGTGCCAGAAAAAAATTCACCATTTGAATCTGTGGTATGAGTAAAGCCAACCCAAATGCTTTTCCTGTTGGCATAATTTGTCTGCATCAAAATTTTGTTTCCATCAGAGTTGAAATGGCTATATGGAGTTTAATTCCCGGCTGCTACTTCCAGCTGGTGCAGTTTTTCTGGCAGCAGTTTATGAAGCAGACAAGCCTGGTAGAGCAGATCCTTGAAGACTTCTTTGTTTATGAGGTTTTGATATGGAGGA